AAACGGTCACGGGTCACAGGCCCGCTGAATTGATCGAAATAGGTCAGTACAGCCATGATCTATTTGTTGATTATGGATCAAGATATGTCAAGTGTAGTCAATGAGGTATATCCAGTTACCCACATACTCTGATTGATGACTGTATGTTCTTGAATGATGAATTGGGGCAGACATTCAACTACAACTGGTCAGAAATTAATTTCAAGTATGATCTAAGACTTGAATGTAGGGTTGTATAGACTGTCAAATGAACCTGTCTAGCACTTGAATCAACCTTATAACTAATCTGGATCTCTCACAGTACCATTATCAGTGTTATCTATGCCAAACATGATGGGTTTACCATGGCATAGCCTTTGTGAATCTGGATAACCTGAGTATATGGACTAGTAGGGGTATAATCCACCTTCTAGAAAGTGGTGCCCCCTCATTACCAGCATATCACCATCCTAGGTTATATAGCACTAAAGGTCTTCAGTAATTGACCAACTCTAATACTTGCTGTATGATTGGGAATGGGTAGGTGTGTGGTGGATCATCCCATGGAACTATATCAACTTGGATCATGAAGTCCCATGCATGGGGTCCCAAGATATCAGTAAAACACTCTGTAACTCAGTATTCAATCATGCTTGGTAGTCAATAGGTTGATGAGATGGTACCAGATGAGATGGCTGACTGAGCAGACTAATAGTAGGATGATATACCTTTCAAATAAGCTCCCTCCCAACTTTGTTCACCCAGGCTAGCTATAGATCCATGGTTATCTTTCAGGGTTGATGGAAATCAAATACCACTGATGAGTAAATACACTGCATAATTGGGATTATATTGACTGGGGATTAGGGATGGACACACTAGAGCCTCAGCTTGGAGTCTCTGGCTATATAAGTCATCTTCCTTATAATGTTGGAGTACCAGATATTCTCTTTTATATGATGGAATAGCAACTACAGTGATTATATCATATGATGGTGATGAGATACCATGTTCTATTGATAATACTCTTTGCGACCTTCCTGACAGTACTTAAATCATGTATTTCCATCAAGTACTTACGGAGATAGAGGCTCATCAGTTTTAAATCAGCAAATGATTGGCTGGTACTGCCACAACTATTCAGCTGCCACTATAGGTTACTGAATGAAAGTTGTTCATATAGTCAAAATATACAACTTTGGTTTGTGACAATCTGTGACATAGTCTAATTCTTGTACCATCAAATGGTGAAAATTTCCTTTTTGGAAAGTTGTCATGCTTATCACTCCGTATTACGGTATATAACAGCACGGCACAGGTACCGAATAGTTGTTATTGACCAAAAGTTCCTTTTTAGGACACTCTGTCACATGTCAGATAGTGGACTTGGTTCCGATAGCCTATGTCGTATTATTCACCTTTATTCGCCCCTACATGCTGGACTTGGAAAAATTTGCCTTGGACTTCACAATTATTCACCCCCTTCACCAACAATTATTCACCACTTGGGGAATTGCTGATAACGCTGGGGCTTATCAGTGGCAACCTGTGTCGTTGCCACTGATAATGTACAGTGTGTTGTGGGCTAAACAGGTGCTCTAGCAGCCTAAAACAGATGTTATTACATATTGGCTTGATGGTACATAGGCATAGAAACATTTTCATACTACCTTGATAGAGCTTTTATATAAATATCTTCTTCAATCCATGGGTATATCCGTATCTGTATGCATGGATATGGGTACACAGCCACTACGAATACGGTGTCAAGTGGAAAAAATGTTTTCCTACATAGATATCCGGAAGTGACTTTGTTTGGGAATATCCATATATGTTCGTGGGATCCTGGTGGCACGGTTTCTCCTGAAAAGGAAGTAGGAAGGGGGTGTGGCAGAAGGGGGTTGAGTAACCTCACATGCATGTCGTGGGGGGAGTAAGAGCTCAGGGTCTACTGTCGTTACAGTAGACAACAAACACTTCAATTGTGAAGGGATGTCTGAACAAGGAACATTTTCCAAGTGTAGACCATTAACGTAGCAGTAGTAGGTTCAAGCCAATTGAACCTAGAGAGTGCAACTAAGTGAGAATACTCAATCACACCAGAGGTGGGGGTGTTTGGGGGTAAAGTCAGATAGCAAGTTTGTAGATACAGAATGGGGGTGCTCCTGGCTGCTTTATATACACATTCAGATGTGGCTGTGCAATCCTGTGTATGTACATAGCACAGATTAGAATGCTTCTTGGGTCCAAAATAATAAGGGGTAAGTAGTGTTTCAGGCTATTATAGCTAAAAACTGTAACCTAGTGTCAATCATGTCAAAATTGCAGTGCAGAGACAGCAAATGGTTTCAAACTAAAATTTTTTTAGTTTGGACTTGTAAGGCAGTGCCTAATGAGAAGACACAAGTCAGGAAAGCTGTGCATGTTTTATATGTCAGATCATATGTCAGAGTTGGCAGACAGCTGACAGAGTGTCATATTGCTGTATTCCAAGTGCAATGACTGAGCTCTGCAACTGAAATCAGGCACAACAGATAGATAGTCGGGCCCGCAAGTACAGCGAGCGGGGTAGATCGAAACCGAAAGGGCCTGTGAACTCGGTCCCCTGTCAGTTGCGGTGGTCGAAGGTTCGAATCGGGTCGTTTCGGGCCCGATAAGTCGATGACACCTCCTTGCACGGAGTAAGGTAGTTCTTCAGACGATCTAAGCGATAGAGTACATGGTATGCTATCGCGTATTATATACTACTGGGGTGCATGTTCCCCGTCGTCAAGCACATGCGTGACCGAGAAGGACATGTCGAGCCGTTGCCGAGCCCAACTAGACACCAGGGGACTTGGGAGGAGTGCTAGGAGGTTAGGAGTAGTGCCTGGTCCGCAAGGGATGTACAATCGTCCCCTCTCCGGCCAGGAACGGGAGCGAGGAGGAGCAGGAGAGGCCAGGGTGTCCGATCACCCCTTTGTGGGCCTGCGTATATAATGCGTGATAGCGTACCATGTACTCTATCGCTCAGATCGTCTGAAGAACTACCTTTCTCTATGCAAGGAGGTGCCAACGACTCATCGGGTCCGACACGACCCAATTCGAACCTTTGACAACTGACAGTGACAAGGGATCGAGTTAACGGGCCCTTTCGGTTTTGATCTACCCCGCTCGCCGTACTTGCGGGCCCGACTATCCGTCTGTTCTGTTCTGGGCGCGGGCTATTAGGAGAGGTCCTTGCACGGCCCAACCCACAGTCTGACACGATCCATCAAGCCCTCCCAACAATCACCTTGGGACAGAGCCTGCGACACCACTCAGGCCTTCTGTGCTCTACGTCGGCAGTTATGGATGACCAGGATATAGTTGGCAGACCCTTAGAGTTTCTTCTCTTTGGATCCTCCCCAGCTAGGCTCTTGTCAGACCCTCCGGGGTTGCCCTGACATCAGAGCATCAAAAAAAAAAAAAATTGGCAGCCCTCCAGGCTGCTAAATACTATGGTATTTTACTCAGTTCAAATATTACATGTCACACTTGCTATAAAATTCGAATTTTTCACATGTCACGCTGTTTTGCTTGAATTCATGTCAAGTCGATCTTTGACCAAATGTTGCCAACGTCGTAGCTCCTGTCCCTCAAAAAACAACTCTAGCGCTTCCAACCTTTAGTCCAGTGTTGCTCGCTCCATACCCAAAAAGGCAATTTTGACATTTCTGAGTGCGATTTTTCTCATTGGGAAACAATCCAAATTCAAATTTTCATATCAAATGTCACAGCATTTTTGGCATTCAGATTGAGTAAAATACTACAGTAGGCTGAAATTTTTTGGCACACTGGATTGGATAAATTACTACAGTATTGAAATTTGGCTCTTCCAAATGTCAAACAATTGTTTCTGGCCTGTTTGAGATACTGTCAGCTAAATTTCTTGCTCTTTCTGTTTTTATAAAAAGTTATCTTTTGCTGAGTTGGAAAGGTACAGCAAAAGCAGCACTTTCCTTTTGAGTTTCTTGCAGGAAGAAAGACCATCTTTGTGCAACAACAAAAGACAGAAAGAAAGAACATCTTTCTGTGCACCTTTCTGTGTCATTGAAATGAGTGGCCAAAAAAGGAAGTTTGAAAGAGGGAATCTTATTTCCCTGTGGACCGGCTCATTGACCTTTCTCCCTTGGATATGCACAAATAATAGGAGTAATACCCACTCCTGCCCAAATGTGCATTTTTATCTAGGGAATCCAGCTCATAGACCGTAATGTCCGATGAAATTCTTAAATTACTTGCTAATTATGCCATAAGAAAATTCCAAACTTGGGAAATTTCAAGGTACCATAGATATCTGACCACACATTGATTTTCAGCAAAATACAATGGAGATTTTGTCTCCCATGATCCAGTACCTATCTACTAGTAACACCAGTATCTAGCCGAGCGGCGAGGATTGGACTGCCATACCCACATATGGGACTATATGGGCTTATTATTATTATTATTATTATTATTATTATTATTATTATACATTCCTAACGACTTTCCTTCAAATTTATCTACCATCCGATAATCGTATTGAAGTTATGCCTCGTGAAGCCTGTCAGAAAAGTGTCTAACCCCAGCGGGCCGGCGGCAGAAGTTCCACGGTTCCAATTATTGTGCTATCAAAGGTTCTGACCGCTGTCAATCCAAGAGGATCGGTCCTGTGGTACTGGTTCTTGATTGCCTTTATTCTTGTGAAATCTTGTGAGAAGCATACCCACACTTTTACGCGGTTGCGGACTTGCGGTGATGGTCTTTATTGCAAAAGTCCATCGCAGGGACTCGGGAGTCGGGAACTTTTGACGATGATTCCGTCTTTAATTAATGTGACGTTTCCACCAGGGGAATTTGAAATTGGGACGACTCCGAGTCGATTGACGCAACACCTAATACATCACAGCGGCGATAAGATATAGCTCAACCAGGCCCGGGCCTGTCAGCACCGGCCAAAAATTGTCTTGACTGCGCAGAGACCGGCTGGTCGACGCCGGACCGTCTCTGGTCTCAGTCTATTCTTCATCGCTCTCATTATGGACCACATCGCTTTCAGAGCCATCTCCGGCAGAAAATCGGTCTTTCAGAGTCTGTAGGTCGGCGGCCAGCTCTAGCATCTCGTCCTTCTCCAGGCCTAGATCCGTTGCGGCTTGAATGCAGACCGCACGACCCTTTTTCAGAAGCTTGACGTATTGGTCCAGAAAAACGGGGGTCTGTTCAGTGACACTGAGAGAGGTGACTGCCGCCACACTGGAGTGGAATCGATACAGGCCATCGGTGGGCCTAAAGAATGCTGGGAAAGAGTTGGGTAGGGGATAGGCACCGGCGTGAGTACTGTGTTTGCGTGTGAGTGAGGAATATGGATACTCAAGACATCAGAAGGTGCAATGAGCAGTAATCCAGTCACCTAATCACTGGACCAAGCATCCATTGAATCGTCTTGGCTAACATTGCCTCGTCGTATGCAGTAATAGCGCTTTGGGAAAGGCCCCTGGTGACGTTGTGGCGTGAGTACTACATGTACATGAGGAGGTAGGAAGAAACGACGAGCTAGTTGATGCTTACTGATCTTGTTCCTTCCGACAGCCGTGGGCGGGAACCAGGCGACAGGCTGTAGAGGTGTTCAGGGAGCTGGCTCATTTTCAACGAGCTACACAAGGGAAATATGCCTGTCAGTGAAGCCAGCGGTGCTGTGCCACCACATAATTGCCCAGCAAAACTATAGATATCATGGTTCGACGCCTTCAGACTAAATCAACCGTTCAGCGGTCACGAAAACTGTACATAAAGATGGCGGACCGGAGCGGAAGCGTTGCGCTTTCAATGTGAGCAGACAGAATGGCGGACATGTGATATGGGTGGGAGCGCTATCGAATGTCGGATGACTTCGTTGTTGCAAGGTGGAGTATACATACAGTGGCATGAATATATTCGCTTTCAAAAATGTCAAGGTGCCATGCCGCTGGGTGTTGGATAGGCACATTGAGGAGCGACAATTCTCCCAGCCCGCGGAGAGTGAGAGCGTCATTGATGGCGAGGCGCAAAGTATGCCGATTCTGCACTGACATTCAGATATGAATGGTGAGTTTCGTTTGCGAGAGACGTACGTGCAAGCTTCCAACCTCTGCTAGCAATGGGAATGTCATGACCGGGATTTTGGTACCCTCATCATGCAGCGCCGACAGAAGAGAATGAACAAAGGAGCCAAAGCTCCCGGTCTCGTGCACGACTTGGATACCCTATCGGTATTCAGAGGTTCACAGAAGCCCGCGCCACGGAGCCCGTACCTGAATCGTATCACACTCTTCTAAGAAGGTACGGACAGGCCCTTCCATAAGACCTGTATTCTAATAGTGGCGTATCAGAATCTTTTGTTGCGAATATGCACAGGTTCTAATTCACATACCTCATCGTACCTCACGAAAGTCTCGTGGCCAGCAGCCCAATTCCCTCGAGCACTCTCCTTTTCCCACTCCGGGACGTCTGGAACCTTTTGCACCGTGCGTGGGACGTAGTAAGGTCGAGTAAAATCCGACCAGTAGCGAATGTCGCGGAGTTGCGCCGCGGGTGATACATCTTCTGAATTTTCAAGGTCTAAATTCACCTGGTAGTTGCTCGGAAGAATCGCCTCTCGTTCATATTCAATGGTGTTGCCTGACCTGCCGAAGTCAGCGATTCGAAGGCAACAGGAGTGCAAAACGGGTCTACAGACCAGGCCATGTTCTGCAGTACGTGGTCTCGATCATTGTCGTCTTCCCCATAGAGCGCATTCGACTGACTCAGGGCGCCGAAGTTGGCTATTCAATCACGAAGGGGATTCAGCCACTTTAAGATGAGTGGAGCCGGCGGACCTGCCTTGGTGATCAAACACGAGTAGCCGGGGACAGTACGTCGACTCTCCCTATGGCAATTGGCAAAACATCAGCTTGGTGTTGTTTTACCGCGTGAAACCTTCTACCTACATCGTGATTGACGCCCTCGCGAAACGACACGTCATGGTCAATCTCGGAGGCGAGCCCGTCCGAGTCAGCGGAGCTCTCCCGGTAGCTCTCTTGTGTGTTCCAAAAGTGAGTTCCGACATAATTTGCCAATGAGCCTGCCTGAATATAGAGGATTTCCTTCATGATGGCCGTCAGCAGAAAGAAAAAGATGTGACTTGATGTGTGACTCCATGACGGATACCCGGCCCGGTCGGACTGGTCGGCCAAGACCATCGGATCAATCGAGGAAATCTAAGGGCGAGTCTCGGTCGGTTTAAGTTCGGGGCATTGAGACGTCTAAAATCGTGTCTTGGTCCTTATCGAAGCACTTCCAACAAAGCCATCGCCGTCGAGTCGTCCTTCGCGATCGGGATTTGTCCCACGATGTATCCACTGTTACCGACGAACGCCCGCTGCAACTGATACTAAGCAAAGATGAAGATCGTCATTGTTTGACGAGATTGTGATGTTCATGCAAACGACGTGAGTCAGGTGATAACAAGAATAATTTCGTTACGCAGCGAATTGCAACACCTTTGCAAGTATTTAAATAATAAGTTATACAGGACCCCTTCAAGGGGAGGGTTCGGATTCTAATATTACATTGTCCCTATTGCAAGGTCCATTTTCGAAGTTCAGATATCAGCTACAGCGTTACACGGAGACGATCTAGAATGCGTCGGTCTTCGGAGGACAAACGTGTATTGGGTGATGAAGTTGAATGCCTTTGATTCAGCGAGGGTCGACCGGAAGAGGGATAGCCGAGCGCTGAGAGGGGTGGGAGGCTGACGCGTGGAACCATGCCGGAGCGTTCATGGAGGTCAGGGGGTGGAAGGGAGGATGTGCCAGGTTGCGGGTAGGAGTAGTCGGAAGGAGAACCCAGATGCGTCGACTGAAAGAAGGGTGAACGCATGAGCTCGTACGTTGGGGTGGTAGCCTGAGGAGATCGCGATTCTCGCGCATAATCTGGGCCGTGATAACTATTTGTCGGCGATTCGGGCTCGTCAGACAGTGACGAGCTGGGAATTCGGCTGCTCATAAACACGCCATCCGGTACGCGGATATTACGGAGATAATCGTAGTGATCCACAACAGGGAGCAGAGTAAAATCGGCCGCCTGACAATCACCAGGTTAAGGAAGAAGATCGAGTTTAAGCCGAGAGAACGCACAGAGAAGTAGGCGACGATATGCCATTTCCGCAAGGTAGCCGCTCCAGGTAAGCGAACAGTGACAGAGTAAGTCTGCTTCGTCAACCCATCCTGTTTTGCGGGGCGATCCTTTCGTTTAGGTGGTGGCGGAAGATTAGCAGCGGATTCAGAAGCCTTTTTGGCACTAGAATGGTGCCAGCAGCGGTTACTAAGTATTCAGGTCCACACACTAAACACCTACCGACGAATGGCCTTGGCTTGTTTTTCCTCGGGTGTAGTGTCGACCTTTTCTTCGTAGAACAGGTAGTCGCCGCGCATTCGACTCTGGGACCTGTACGATGCAGGGATGAGCAAAAATGTCTCAGGTTGAAATATGAGAGTTACCATCGCCGACCTTCGGTCCATCGTACCAAGCCACCCTCGTCGACATCATCAGACTCCTCCCAGACAAACACATTTCCACTCCTGAGCTGAGCACGTTCATGCGCGAGTAATCTTCGTCGGATAAGCGGCAGAAGATTCATCCTCACAGCTTCCAAGACCTTGTGCGCATCTGACACATCTCTAATGTCTGCTTGGGCAAAAATAATTAAAAAGAAACTCGGGAGGCATTGAGTGGAACGACTCACGTAGAGACGGATGTGTCACGTATGGACCCGCCTGGGGCTGTTGGATGCCGGGACGGAAAGACATCGACGACGACGGCGAAGAGGGATAAAAGGTTGACTGGATGTGTGGCGCGGGCGTCGCCTCATTTAAGGATAAGCGTGAATCGCTGGCGAACGATCAACAGAGATAGCCGCCACTAGAGAGCCATGCTTCTTTCGGGGAGTTGACGGAATCTGGGTCTATTAGCTGGCACTCGCGGGTTAATTGGATAGCGCAAAAAGGAAGGCAGGAAGCTGACCGTATAAATAAACCACACTTGTCAAGGGCTTCCTGCTGGCGGTGATGTAGGGGCGAAGACTGACGTCTGGCGCTTGTCGAATTAGGTGTACGTAGATGGGCGGACCGCCTGACCAACAGAAAACAAGCTGTGGCTTCTACACATGCATCCGAACGACATGCATGGGAAGACTCGAGGACCTGGGAAGTGTGCGCTTGCGGGTCGTGTTTGACCAATAACCCGTTGAATACTGATCTTTGGATCCGTCTTGGCAAGGGTTGGAATCTGAGCCGTAGCCCAGCCGGCCACGACAATTTGGCGAAACCTCGGTGGGGGCTATGACAACTGACTCAGTCTTGTCGAGGCACAAATAAGTTGTTCCGTGGCAGATTGCGAAGCTGAGTCCAGGGCGTTGGGTGTCCCAGAGATCTTATGTGCCTACCCTTGCCGATGACGGCCGGCACGAGCGTGCGTAGGGAATGACGAGAAACGAGATCGTTGTATGGCCTGAAGGTCTGCGAGAAGTAAAGGGAGTAAATATTGTGTGAGAAGAAGAAACAAGACGCACGTCAACGGTGAGACACTGGCAGCAATTCATCGAAAAATACATCGCCACCGTTTTTAGAGTGGTCGCCCATGGCCGGGGCCAAAGTATATGGTTATCTCAGAGGTGTCTCCTGGTCCAATATGAAAGCCCAGCGATGGGCGGAACTGGTTGCGACCCAAGGCACGGCGACCTCACGAGTGTCAACTGCGTGCCTTGGGAGCAGAAAAAACCATCCCACCTTGTGTTAAGGCTGACGATGGGAGACAAATGGAAGATGTGGTCCGGCAAGTCCGGGAAAATCCACTTTCCCCGGCCAAGGATATCTGTGAATAGAGTCAGATTTAGACTCGCGTGAGAAGCAGAAAGATAAGTACGGCGTGTCGGCAGTTTACGGCCGTGTGCTGTCGGCCGTAAGGTGTATTCGGGTTGACGTTCGGGCTCCCTTGAAACGGAGCCGCAATTCCCCAAAGAGAGCACGACACTGATCGATGGGCACCTCGTTTGAGATTGGAGTTCAATCGCCGACGCTTGCGTTACACATGTTGGGAAGCATCTCTTCTTCAATAGGTAGAGAAAGGGCCAAGATTGAAATCCGAGCACTTCTCGAAGGCGGCAGACAACTGCGGTTTAAGCGGGGTCTGGAGCTGTCGACGTGGCAAGCGCACATGAGGTTGCGCCGTGTGCTCAGTGACGGTTCGCAGCAAAAGGTGTAAGGCTGTGCTGACCGCCGTCAATCTTTTTTCAGTCTTGACATCGATCACATATGGCTGGCTCGCCGCCAACAACGCTGGCCGTCGGGCACACAGAGTCTTCTCCTCGACGGCCCGCGCGCAAAGATGGAGACGGGAATCTAGGTGGAGTGTGTGTACTCTCGCCTTCCCACTTACCGAACGTTTGGTAGTCTCCCCCTTCTTTCCACTTCCACCAACTCGTCCCATGGCCTGTTTTCGTGCATTGGCGGCTCATTTCGTCTGGCTCGCTGCTCTCTCTCCCTGGAAGGGCTGACGGCTTCCACGGGGTCATCGTGGCCTTCCATTCCAACCGACAAGCTGAGAAGGGGTGCTGGCGGAGGGTGTATGTCTCGTGCGCCGTGTTTGTGAAGGTGCGTCCCTCCTCCAGTCTCGCTGTCCGCTCCCTCATTGAAGCTTCTGACTGTAGACTAGCCGCCTGGCCATCTGCAACGGCCATATGTCGCGCTCACTCTATGCCTCGCTGGCACATTCGGGAACCTACCTACTTCGTCGTGCCCTTTCCCCCTTGCTGCGCCTTGCATGAGTAGCACACTGCATCGCTTGCCAACGCGGTATAGCTCTCATCTACTTGTATTCCGGATGTTGCCGTCAAAGAGTCAGGTTTTCGATGGCGCCGGGGAAGGCTGCTTGGCCCAGCTTGGGATAAGTACAGCTTAGTGCATGTGGTTGTGTGTTTCCTTCGACTTCGTCCGGAGTTCCTGCGCTGACGAGACATATCAGGGCCAGTGGGCAATGTCAATGCAACCGGCCCGTTTGCTCTTCGATGCTCCTATTTTGATTCGACGATTTGTCACCTGGGACGGACTTGAATACGATTCGGATACGACGATGCCCACTGGGTAATGTTCCCGAGTATAAGTCGTTGCCCTTCTACGAGGAAGGACAAGAAGCTCATACGCCAGGGCCGGGTCGATGTAGAGAATCTGACCATATACTCCTTCAAATTTCGGTGCGGTTATACGATAAGATAGTGTATATTCTAAAAAAGCTAATACTTTTTTATTTGGACTTGGATGGCCCAGCAACAGGGACCTCAGTCTTCGAGCCTGCTTTACGGCTGCTCTTCTCTTTCCCGCCCTTCACGTTGCCCATAGTGAATATAGATTTTTTCGACGCCGGCCGTAGGATCTGTGATTTTCTTTCAAGTGTGTTCGAGTGCAATAAAAACTGCGCACGCACTTGAAAAGAACACAGCAGGGACTCGTCGATGCTCATCATCCCACCGGCATTGTCGAACTCTCCTCCGTAATTGGGAGCAGAGAAAATCGTCACAAGGTGGCGTTTGGCGAAGAATTCGTAGCCATCCTCGACAACCTTGATGGCATGTTATTATTTTTCCAATCTCTGTTAGCTCCACGACCACAAGACGCACCTGATGGCCACGCGCAATGAGATCGAGGTCGTGCTTTTGCAGGAAGCGTGCCACAACATCTGGACCGAACGTAAAGCTGATACCGCGGTCATTCTCGCCCCACCCGCGCACGGTGGAATCCGGGTCGCTCCTATGGCATGTGATTTCAGAGTAGGTCAGGGTGCATAAGAGCACTTACCACAGCAGGTCGCTCAAGATACCAGTATCAGGTACATCAGTGGGGCGGATGATCCTGCGAATTTGGTCCATGCTCTGCAGATCGGGACTCAATCCTCCGTGCATCGCAAAGATTCGGTCGTCGATAAGCGCGGCGATTGGGAAGCAATTAAAACAATCGATAAACGCCTTCCAGATCTTGATGTTATAACGGCGTTTGCCTGCAAACACGGCGTTAGCCACGGGATGGAAGTTGCGAAGCGGTTAAAGACAGTTACATTCGTCATAAAAGCCGTAGATGCGATTGATAGATGCGCTCTCGTGGTTCCCGCGAAGGAGAAAGAAATTTTCGGGGTATTTGACTTTGTAGGCCAAGAGAAGGCAGATCGTTTCGAGTGAATGCTTGCCGCGATCCACGTAATCGCCCAAGAACAGGTAGTTGGCCTTAGGCGGGAAGCCTCCGTATTCAAAAAGGCGGAGAAGATCGTAGTATTGACCATGCGTGTCGCCTGCAAGGAAGATTTGTCATTAGCAATTCTTTTTTGGGCAGTGTGACGACCACAGACCGCAGACTTTGAGGGGCGCTTCCAGCTCGAGGAGGATGGGCTGGTCCATCATGACCTCCCGTGCCGAGCGGCACAGATATTGGATTTCGTGTTCCGCCAGCTTAACTTCCTTCCCGGGACGAAACCCTCTAACTACGACGTAATGTACATCAGCGGGACGTCTACAACAAATACTATAGCTAGATCATGGATAATGCACAAGTGCAGGAGCCGGGAAAGGGAAGGGAAAAAGGGTATTACCAAGTAAAAGTCTCTCGATTATGCTGTCCACATCAACCTCGCCGTCGTTACTGGCCATTTCTACCAGATATCAGAAAGGCTCAAGGGAATAGCTTCACTGACAGGGAGGTCGCTGAAAGAATTATAAGGGTGTTCGTGGTTGGGCGGGGGAGTTCTCGGGGGAAGGTATGTGGCGGAAGGCAAGATGAAAAGTGCGAAGAATATGACTCGACTCTCATCAAGTTGTCATTGAGACAATTTTGGGCGGGCCAACCGGATCTGATGATGATGGACTTCATCGACGGGATACGGCAACCATATGGCGGCGTTGCGGACCGTGGAGGAAAACAGGGTGAAATGGCACCCAAAAACTGATGATGATGATAGTACTACAGGAATGACAACTTGATGGCTATGCTAACATTTTAGGTCTCAAAGTACTTATTTACCCAATACTTAACAAATGAATAGACAATAAAATGCAGATGCCGCCACATCTCTTAGGAACAAGGGTGTTTCTATGAGAGGATAAACTTGCCACATTCACACTGTGGTTTCTGCCAAAAATAATGGGCCTTGAAGTAGGATTTATTGATAATGAATAGTGGACAAAAAAAAGATGTACATTTGAAAAACTTGGAAAGATAACAGATAAAACTGCAGAAAAGAAAACCTGATTTGTAAGAAATTGGGCCATGTATTAAGTCATCAGATTGGACTTAACTCAAAGCCAATACTTATCAGGTGAATAAGTGACAAATTGCCATCATACATGACATGTCACCCTTATATATGACAAATATTTGGGCTTGAATGAGGTGCACTTATTATCTTAACAACATAGTAGTCACAATATATGTGATATTTGATACACCAATATAGAACTTGATCTCTTGTATATCAGGTACAATTTCTGTAACTTTTATTATATACCAATCAAAGCTGTAAAAAACCCCATTTGGATTTGCTGACTTGCCTGGGAGAAGAAGCTACCTGGCAGTTATATCATCTGCTATGCCTGGGGATAACTCACTTCATCTCCCCTTAGAACTTGAGTCTGCTGCTAATGTGCTCAAGCTTTCTCTTTCAGGTCTAGTTGACTGTGGGGGCTGCTTTAGACTTCATTGACAGGGAATTTATGTCAACCAAAACAATGTTCCCATCCAAAATAGCCTGTTTGCAATGAGCTACCAGAGCCATGTGATGGCTCGGCATTCTTGGCGTCCAGTAGGTGTTAGCCCTTGAACCTTGGAGGGTATATGGAGGCTATGGCCCTCCATATAACCTCCATGCTGGCACAAGAACTTAATTAAAAAGAGCCACCTGAGCCATTGGGTGGGTTCATCACAAACTCTCTAATTTCTCGGTACCTGGTATACAATGTCAATGGCACTCACCAATGACACTGGGTCTATTCGCCAGATCGCAGACCTTGTTCTGCAGTATAACAGACACTCCAAACGCATTCAACTGGCTGTGACCCACCTTGGGAAACAAGACCTGATACTCGGGTACTCCTGGCTCAGAAGGCATAACCCCGAGATAAACTGGGAAATGAAGGAGGTGAAAATGAGTCGCTGCCCTTGTAGCTGCTCTACCTGCCGAGATGAGGAACGGACCGAACGCGCAGAGGTTTGGCGTCTCTGACTTCTTAAATCACTGTTGTCTCTGGGCCTGGGTCCGAACTTGTCCGCGACATCAAGAAAGCGCTATCCGGTGAACCTGACCTAGAGGAGGCCATCGTACTTGCGGTCCGGCAACTCCTGAAGGTCCGAGGGAAAGTTCGTGGCCCCCGCTCATCACGTTTGGACGAGTGGGCTGTCTCGGGTCATCTCTTGTACTTCCGCAGCAAGGTCGTAGTCCCCAAAGACAAAGACTTAAAGAGGCACATTATCGAGCTCTGCCGCAATACGCGGGTCGCCGGACATGCCGGGTGGTTCAAGACCCTAGAACTGGTGTCGCGCAACTACTGGTGGCCGCAGATGTCCCGCCATATCAGATGTTATGTCACAACCTGCGACCTGTGCTGCTGTACTAAGGCCCTCCGAAGGTTACTGCATGGGAAACTACACCCAACCAAAGTCCCCCCCGAACGCTGGCACACTGTCATGGTGAACTTGATCGTCGAGCTCCCCGCGGCTCATGGGTATGACGCGGTCATGGTAGTTGTCGATGCTCTTGGCAAACGTGCTCACTTCACCGAGTGCCAGATGACGGTGCCACGGTAGACACAGTCGGAGCTGCCCGGTTGTACTATCAGAACGTCTGGAGGCACTACGGAACCCCCAAGAAGTACATTTCGGATCGCGGTTTGCAGTTCATTGCTGACTTCACGCGTGAACTCTGGCGCTTCATCGGCATCAAACCTGCCATGTCCACGGCTTACCACCCGCAGACTGACGGACAAACCGAAAACGTCAACCAGGAGCTAGAGCAGTACATCCGGATCTTCACGAACTACCAACAGGACAACTGGGATGAGCTTATCCCTGCCGCTGAGTTCGCCTATAACAACCAGGTTCACTCCTCCACTCAACAGGTACCCTTCATGACAGACACTGGTCGGCTCCCCCAAATGGGTTTCGAACCAGGTGCCCACTCTGAGCTGGAGTCAGTAAACAAGTTTCGTGATCGCATAGCAAATGGTATCTCCGAAGCAAAGGCCGTGCTCGTTAAAGCCAAGGACGAGTATAAACGGTACTACAATCGGAAGCGTTCGGACGCCCCGAATATCCAAGTCGGCGACAAGGTATGGCTCGACGCCTCTGACATTAGAACGACTCGGCCCTCGGAGAAGTTCTCGCATAAGCACCTTGGACTATTCAAGGTATTTGCAGAGGGTAGCAGGGGCGCCTACAAGCTAGACCCCCCCGCTACTCCAAGCTCCACCCGGTCTTCCCCCTTGTTAAGCTCGAACCCGCTAAGGACGACCCCTTTGATGGACGACCTGGTTAGGACGAACCGCCCCCAGAACTAGAGGACGGAGTCCCCAAATGGGAAGTCGAGGAAATCTTAGATGCCAGGATAAGGTATAAGCGTCTTAACTACTTCGTCAGGTGGAAAGGCTACAATGCTTCACACGACTCGTGGGTTCGGTTCGACCGTGTCTTCGCGCCAGACAAGATTGCGGACTTCTATCGGAGATACCCAGGTAAACCACAGCATATCGCCTCAGCTCCTACCTCCAAGGGCTTCCACCCCAGGAGGAGCCATCTTATCAACTTAGATCATAAAATTCTATGCATGCAGTCTTAGTATATCAGTAAAATACTACTCAACTTGGTATTCAGGCATGCTTGGCAGTAAATATATGAAGTTAATAGTAGCAAATAAATATAGTTCATGATGCTCAAGTATAGTCGATGGTATACCTTTCAAATAAACTTGTTAGGGGAACCCCCACTTCGGCCTCCTTCGGACCGTCCAAGCGCATCTGAGGCGCATCCGACCGGCGCCCCCTCGGATGCTCTGACCTACCCCGACCCTCGGCATCAGCCTCCTTTGCCCGCACAATCACCAATCCGTCAAGACCCTCCCAACAATCACCTTGGGACAGAGCCTGCGACGCCGCTCAGGCCCTCTGCGCTCTACGTCGGCAGTTACGGACGACCAGTATATAGTTGGCGCACTAGCAGGCAGACCCTTAGAGTTTCTTCTCTTTGGATCCTCCCCTGCTAGGTCAGTCCCTCTGTGTATTTCCGTAGCTTTTATTCATGCTTTGGATCCTCCCCTGCTAGGCTTTTGTCGGAGTCTCCAGGGTTGCCCTTACAGTGCTCAAAAAGTGTTGGGCCTGTCTGTGTTATCCATTGATGTATTCAATGGAAGTCTAAGCTCGTATTCCAACTGCATTGATTGCAATCCACAATTTGGTTCTTTATTATGATCCTGTCAAGGCCAACGGGATAGGATTTGATGTTGACAATGAAGCTTGGGACCCTATACCACGCCATAGAGCCGAGACAAACAATGGTCTAGCTTTCTCGGTTGTTATTCCAGCAGCTGAACAAGACTTTGCAGAAGATCATCGAGATTCAATTGTAAATGCTATGTGGATCCAGTATCAGAACTACCTAGAGAACAATATCTAGAATCAGTGCCTGTTATCATATCTGAATGCGAAGTTATCCAGAGGAGAATCAAAAGTGAATGGTAGTAGAGAATCAAGTGAAAGATCAGAACCTTCCGGAATATATTCCATAACCCCAAGTTTGCGTAAAATCCATTCTCGCCGATAAACAACATCGGCCGGTTGGGTCCCCCACAAGCGAAACCAGACTGGTACTTGTTGCTGAACGAGCCCTTACCCTGCTATCTGGGGGTGCCACAGGGCTTCATTATCAAGTGCAGAACAGTCATGGTGCTAGTAAACTTGAACTAACTTGCTCACAAGCATATCTGCTCTGCTCTCCCGATCACACTAGTACTGCATATACACTTGCTGTCCAAGGGGTGGCAGATCATATAAAAGTTGTGTGTTCTGTGCAAGGGGGGGTTCAAGTCTCGAATCATGGATATAGGGTCGGAAAGTTTTTTTCTGACCCCTGGGGGACCCCCCCTCCCCCCTCCTGCCATATTGGGTATTATGTTCCCACGATTCGCATCATGTGACCACTGATGCGATAAAAGTGGGATAAAAAATTCAATCTTTGTGAAACTTTTTTTTTCAAAATTTTTTTTATATATGTGTATGTGTATATGTATGTACCTGGAACCTTCAAACACACATGGCAGGCTATATCAACTCTTCAACATGTTCACCTCTTATCAATTACCTGGCCCATGGACCTATAACAGAGTAGGCTATCCAAGCTCATGGGCCTGAACTTACATAGATATAAGTATGAGGGTTATGAACCATAGATGTATATACTATATTTTCAGTGTCTTTACACTCATATAAGGCCCAAATCTTTCATAAACAAAAAGGTTTTTACCCCCCTGGGACCCCCCCCCCCTCTCCCCCTACCCCATGTGCCTGATAAGGATCTTGAACCCTCTTGGTTCTGTGTTTTCATTAGTGTACTACTAACTGCCTTCTGGGATAGCACATATAAGCAACAAGTCTACTTATCCATGGAC